GTGGGCTCTGCGTGGTGCCCGCCCGTGCATGCAGTGACTGGGCCTTTGCAGCTTTTGTTGTCCCAGGGTTTGGGACACAGCTCTCTCCCTGCTTAGCAGCATGCCCCATGGGGAGCTTTGCAGAGAGCAGCTATACACCCCCTGGACAGGTATGTGAAGTGGTTACTGCCCCAGCTGGTGACCCTGAGCCTTAAGCTGTGCAGAGCCACGTGCAAGAGTCACCATCTAGGACCACTTCTGTCCTTAATTGCCCTGGGGTTTGATTGGCATGACTGGTAAAGGAGGGGATGATCTCCAGACCCACATGGATACCTGGGTGTTCCTGGTTTGGGAAGGATGCACAGCTCAGTCCCCAGAGCAAGAGCTGCTCTGTTAACACTGTTCCCTCAACACCAGCACAACCACAGGCTACTTTCCTCTCCCCCACAGCTGCAGCCTACACTGGAGGGCCTTTTTAAACTGGGAAATCAGGCATGCCCTTACCTTGACTTAATCACCTGGAGCCTAGCAAAGATGAGGAAGTTTTTAAGTCAGGGTCATATAAACTACAGTCTCCAGCCCAGGCTGCTGACTCGGGTGAGAAAGGCAGGCTGCCTCCTCTCCAAGGAGCTCACTTAAATGAAGAGCCCACCTTTATTTCTTAGGAAGATCAGGCCTCACTGACTGCACCAGCTAGGCTACAGCACAGGTTTGGATGCTAATAAAGTGTTAATTGGTTAGCAGGAGCATATAATAAGGAGCACAGAGCAGAAGGCATAGAAATATAATATAAGAGAGTGGGGTGGGGCACTCTGCTCTGCTCTATATAGGGCTTCTAGTGGGTTTTTCTTTTTGCAGATTGGGTCCTTGATGCTGGGTTTAGGAGTAGGGATGAAGGGTATGAAGCATGTGTTATGCTTTCATCCAAGGGGGTGAAAGACCATGTTGGGTCACTGGCCAGGTCTGCAGGCATAGAAAGTCCCTGCATCCTGAGTTGCCAGCCTAGCACTGGATTCACAAGGGGGGAAACAATTGTTCCATATCCCTGAAAAACCCATGGGGCTTGAGTGACTTTGGATGGGTCAGATCTCTTCTGGTGGGTTTTCCAGCCCCCTTTTAGAGCTGTTTATTTGGGGAGAGCTACCAGAGAAAGGGCTGGCAGTTTTCCTACCTGCTGTGGTTTGGAAGGGGAGGGATACAGACCCTGCCCTGCAGGCCAGGGGCTCTGGGTGCTCCTGGGCATCTGAACAGTGAGCCCTTGCCTCGAGGAAGACAGCAGACCGTTTCAAGCCTTTGATTACCTACCCATCCCATTCCTTCTGCCGAGTGATAGCCAGTTGATTTGCCTGCACTTAGAGCTAAAAGAGGACATCCTGTTTTAAGTCATGGGAAAAATAGCAGGCCGACTTGGGAGGCATGGCTGTAGCCCTGAAGAGATGAAATAGAGGGGCATAAGCTTGCCCCACTCTAGGCAATGGGCTATGTGAAAGTATATGGGAGCATTTCCCAGATCTGGCCTGGTTGAAATGGCTGCATTAGGTTCATGGGGGTGGATCTCAATGGAGCTCTGTCCACGGGCTTACAAAACCAGCACGAGAAGCTGCAATATAAAGTAACCAGAGGGACAGTCTTACCCTCACCCCAGCAGGTAGCTTGTGTCCTGCAGTTGTAAGCTGTCTGCAACCCATCAAAATGCTTTACTCCTAACTGTAACCCGTCTTTTAGGGCCAGGCTCTTGGTCCCATGCAGGTAGCAGGGCAAGCTCCTCAGTTATTCATTATGGGGAAAAGCGGGGTTTCTCTTCAGGGCGGGGGAATAACAGACCCCATTTTGGGCCTCAGCAGGGCTTGAAATAGGCCATCACAAGCGAAGGTATTAACCACGGGAGCTTCTGATGCAGGCTGGCACTAGAGGACTCCCCCCAGCACCCACACTCTTCCAGCTGAACTAATGTTCCCCAGCTCCTTACGGCAGTAGTTTTCAACCTTTTGTGTACCAAAACCCACTAGTAAATCTCAGTGGCCGGTCCCGACCCAGTGCCCTTCATTCCCAACCTGCTGACCCCTGCCTCCAGGCCCCAGCCTCCCAGTGTGTGGGGCAGGGGGTGGGGGCATGATTCCCCAGCTCTTCCCATACGTCTGATGGGGAAGGGGATCTTGGCTTCACAGCAGGGTCCAATGAGGGGTGAGTGTCAAGGTGGAAAACAGGATTGTGATTTGGGAAAGACGGAGCATCACTGATGGAGAGACAGCAAATTCCTTGAGGAATTGGAGCTCATAGAGTTGCATCTTGCAGCGTTTATCACACTTGCATGTCTCTTATTTTTCTTCCTGATTAGAATAAAGCATGACACAGACCAGAAGAAAAGACTCACAAAATTGTTGTCCCAAAAAACCAAACCAAACCAAACCAAACCCCTTTACTTGCATTTTTGTCAATAAATAATTTACAGTATGTACATGCGGTAACATCCCACACAGGTCCAAAACACAAAGAGAAGTTGGGGGGTTCTTTCTCTACCCCCGCCCACATCTCCCAACCATCACATCTTCCTTGGCCATACTTCACCTTTAACCAGAACTGGGTCAAACAAAACCAAAATAAAGTGCTTAACTGATTGCTTCTAAAATAGGGATAGCCCAACCACTGGAGTGCTGACTTGACTGGGAGGAACTGGGCAATACAGAGGCAGCTAAAGTCCTGAAAGACTTTCTTCCTCTGGACTATAGTGCTCAACCACGGCAAGGGCCGTTTACGCTGACGGCACAGCAAGCAGCACGGGTGACAGCGCTACTTTCTGGAATCATGGGGCTATTTTGCCTGATTCTGGGTGGCTAATAGAAATGGGGTATTTATGTAGGGCACTACTCGTTGTAGCGAGACCAGCCCTAAATACTTGGTGCTTCTGGTGGGGTACACAGGTGTGTGGCAGGTGCCCCACGGCTTGATCGTGGCTGTAAAAATTCACCTCTCCGATTTCTATGTGAAGAAATGGAGAGTTAAAGGAACAGAAATGACTAACTCTGGCATGAGCTAGCTGATTTTTTTTTTTTCCCTTTCAGTTCTGCAGGGGCATGGGCTGGCGACTGGCCTCTCCAGGTCCCCACTGTTGGGATATCCCTATTGTAGAATCTCCCTAGACAGAAACAGGGGCCACCAGCGAACAAAGCAAGGAGCAAAGTAGTAAACACATCTTTTCATTTCTTTTTTTTTTTTTTTAAACATTTAAAAACCAATGACACCTCTTCATCTGCAGAGTCACACGAGATCAACGCCAGGGCTCTATATATTAAGGAGACAATATAAATTACATCCAATGACACACTTTCTCTGCTGCTTTACAAATGTAGTTCTAGAGCTGTTAGGACACAATGAACAGTCACTTGAGTATTTACATCAGGCTGCCATCACGGCACCAGTTCAGGCTGCAGGGTGGAGCACGTGCCACCTCCTCTCGGCGCTGGCTCATCTGGTGCCACCAAGAGACCATCCCTCCGTCACTGGCTGCCCCTGCAAGCTTCACATGCTTCCAGGGTGGTCATCAGGGACTTCCCGCGGGGGCGCTGAATAGGGAATGCCCACGGAGGTCTCCAAAACACAGACCGAGGTAAAGATGGTCTTGTTTGTTCAGCAGGCGATGAGGTGGACCAGGAAAGGACACGGGGAAGAGGGAGTGGAGCCACATTCTGTGGGTAGCAGATAACCGATGCCTCAGAGCCAGGAAGAAGATGATCTGGGCAGCTGAGATATCTCTGGAGTGCTCTGCCCCTTGCCTGGATTGCTCTAGCAGCACCTCCTTCACAAGCAAGGTGCCACCGGTCTGAAGTGGAGTCACGAGCCAAGGCCCAGGAACTAGGAGAGGAGCAAGGACCTAGCAGCAAACAAATGTCAAGCAAAACTCCCTGCCTGGTCCCTGGACACTGCCGTGTTCGGGTTCTGCCTCAGCCCTGTTGCTTCAGAGCCTCCCCCTCGGAGGTGGAAGAGGGGTAAGCCCCAGGTGCTTTGGCCTGTCAGCATGGGGCAGGAGGAGGAACGTAACCTCTCATCCCACCGTACAAATCAGGGACTTGCCGGGGGCCTCCCCACAAAACACCCAGCCCATTTATTTGCTTCCCCTGGGTTACCAATTTGGAGCAGCCTGGGAGCTGGTCGAATCCAGGGGCTATGGCACACTGAGCCCTCGACATGCTGGGATGAGGTTACGGGCAAGGCTCAGAAGCCACTGAAATACTGGCCAACTTTCTCCTTTAGCACCTGGAGTTCTCCGGGTTTGGGTGGAGGGTGCCAAGGGCAGGAAAAGACCCTGGGATTAAACCTTGTGGCTACTAAGAGAATCGCAGGGTTAACTGGCCTGAGATGGGAGAAGTCCTTGGAATTAGGGCAAATCCCACTGCTACCTTGGACACGATGCTGGGTAGCGAAGGACGAACGAGCACATCGCATTGCACTGAGCAAGGTGCTGGGGAGGGGTAGGCCTTTCATGAAGAACAGAAGCAGTACAGTTGGGGGTGCTCTGCCATGCAGGGCACTGTTGTCAGCCCTGGGTGTGATATTCGGCACTCGCATGTGCCAGCAGGACTGGGGGCCGTTTGTATGAGCGCGCTCCCAAACTCACGCCCCTTAGCAGGAGCATGTGGGAGCAGAGCTCGTGTGGCAATCAGAGAGCAGCATGGAGCTGGCTGAAAACCTGGTCTGGCTGTCTGTGTCCTGGGAGGGTTTCCTAGTGTGTGCCCATCTAACCACCCTCTGTCGCCGAAGCAGTGTCCCCTCGTCCCAGCAGCAGCTGACACCCCTAACACAAAGCCACTTGCACGAACGCCAACAGCACAGTCACCACAACTGCTTGCAGGACCATGAGGGAGCTAGGAGGATATGGGGCCATCCCAGCCTCCTCACTCACAGGAGAGCTGACGACCGGTGTCTGGGGCAGGCGTACTCCCTGGCGAAGTCCCAGGGAGGTCTGAAAGGAGGGGCTGAGATGCGGGAATGATCCTGTACTTCCCGGCCGGACCTGCTGTTCAACCTCTCCTTGTCCAGCACAATCATCTCATCCATCATCCCCTCCTGCTGCCCCTGTCCCTGCCCTCCAAGGTGAGACAGGGCAAACACCTATAGGAACACTGACCAGCACTGACTCAAACACACCAGCACCATCAAGAGGGCGAGGAGGGCCTGGGGATGCCCCGAGGGGGCCAGGTTGCCTGCACCCAGGTCCTGTGTCCTTTCGTAGAGATGCAGCTTGTCCTTGTTGGAATGAAGCATCTTCACATCCTCAAAGGCGTAATAAGCAGCCAGCATGAAGTTGACATCTCCCGTGGTCAGGAGGTCAAAGACGCAGGACTGAAAGTACAGGTCTTCCACGGGGAGCTTTTCCCTGCACTTGGCTGTGGCCGTTTCATACGTAAAAGCCTCGGGGGCGGCAGGGAGGCTGGGCCCTTTCCTCCGAGCCCGGCCCTCCGTGGCCTGCGAGGAGCGGAAGGTCTGGAAGTCGATCTGCTGGTTGAGCGGGCAGCCCCGCAGGCAGAGGTAAAGGCCCTGATTGTCTCTGTCCTCCACAGCGTTCACGACCTCCTCGGGCATGCGCACGGCAAAGGTGAGGTAGCGGCCCACCTGCCTCACCACAATCGTGGTGCCGATGTACTTGGCTTGGATCTCAATATGCTGGCCGGAAACTTTCTCCGTGATCTTCAGGCTGTTGGCGCCGTGCTTGTCGCCGCCGTTCTTGGAGCCATCCACGAAGGCAGCAGGGAGCTCATCCATCTCTGCCTGGTACACTTTCTGGTCCACACATTCCTGGAAGCTCTTGAAGATGATGGTGAGCTGTCAAGGGAAGGAGAAAAGAGGGGAAGGGGCCAGGTTATAACCAGCGTCAACAGCCTGGTGGACTCATCCCACTCCCCCATGAAGGGGCCTAACGAGCCTGTCGGCTCTACCGTAAAGACAGAGTTCTGGGTGGGCTCGCCGTTCCTCATCCCCAGCCCAAAGCTTTTCTATACCGAATACTTCTACTTGCAGTCTTGGAAAAGTCACCCTTGCACAAGCACGGCACTCCTCAGGGCCCCAGCTGCTTCCCGTTCACCAACAAGACTTGTCCCCTCACTCTGAGACATTTCCTGAAACACGAATCCCCTCTGGGCTTCAGATGCACCATTGCTCAAACTGGCTCTGCAAGGCTTTCAGAGGCTTCCTCTTTAGGGGCCTCAGTGGAGGAAGAGGGTATAAGGGATTGATTTGAAAAGACACAAAAGGCTGTATTGGGCTTCCTTCTCATCCACCAAACACCGATCTTTGAATAGTTTGGTATGTTCCTCACATGCTTCACTTGCTGCAGACCCCTTGACTACGACTGAGGGCCCCTCCGAAGCCTGTGAGGCAGGGAAGCACTCTGCCCCTTGCTGTACAGATTCAGAGAGGGGAACAGGCTTGAAACACGATGGTGGGAGCTCTGGGGTTAGATCCCCGGAGCGTCTTGATCCTGGATGTGCCCTCAAACCAGACCTCTCTCTGGTTAGGATTTTTTGTCAGGCTGTAGCAGGCCTCGTGTCATTGAATAACAGGTTTAGAGTTTATTTAATTATTTATTAGGGGTAGTTCTGATCCAACTGAGCAGGTCCAGTCCAGACCTCCGTGAGGATCACACCTGGATCAGAAATTCACAGCTAACACCTACAACCTTGGCTCTGACCGCTGCTTTGCTGGAGCACTTGGATCAGTCCTGGGAGAAACTCTGCTTTCTTTGCACTTCTGCTAGAACTGAAGTGAGCACCAAAGGCTTCCCAGGGCCCCTGCATTCCCCTTGGATCTCAGCAGAAAGGGTGTCCACACCAAACACATCCCAAATCTCTTGCTGCTGCTCCCACGGGTTCAGTCATGGTTACAGCCAAGAGGGCAGCTGTAACACAGCCTACCTCCTAACCCTGGGCCAGCTAGGTTTGCAGGGTATGGTGCTTCAACCTCCACCTGTGGCCTGGAGCACTGGTTCTCGTCATGCTATCAGTGATGGAGCCAAACGAGCGTTGGGAATGGTGGGATGTGAGGTGGCACTTCCTAGAGCAGCTGTCCACAAAAAAACAATCACCCCTGCCACTCGCAATCATTTCTCCCACTTTGCCCCTGCATCAGGGTCTCCTGTCTGGAAGGCGTGCATGGATTTACAAAGCAAGCGTCTCTTTTGCAGCCCAGATGTCTCGCTCTGTGGCTGTCAGGTGTTGGCAGGTCTATACTAGGCTTGCTGGAGGTCACACGCCTTACTCCAGGGAACAGCAGCAGAGCACCAGGCAGGAAGCAGGCAGCTGCCATCCTTCCCAGATCCGGTGTGCTGAGCTAAGGGCACCTGTCCACATAGCTCTGCCTGCTCAATCATCTTGCTGAGTCACCACATTAGAAGATGACTCATGACTTCCCTGTGCAGCTATCAAGGTACAGTGTTGTGATGGGAAAACATTGTACGGGGCCCAAAATAATTCCTGGGAGGCTTAAATGGCCCTGGATGTTTTACAATGCCTCCTTCATTGACCCTACATTGCTTCCTACCTCAAGAGAAACAGTGGCAGCCTACGGCTGAATCACCAGGGATACCACAAGCAGACAAGAAACCATGATCTATGAAAGCGTGGCCCCTGAAGCATCTGGATCCCTTCTTGCAAACTATCCCCTTCTTTCTTTGGCATGCATGTGCACCTTCCTAGCTTTTTAGCGCATCAATGAAGAATAATTCACCAGCAGCAACAGTATCTCTCAGTCCCAGATATTTGCTCAACCAGGCCCTGGATTTAACGCTTGAAACATGTGACTTTACATCTCATCACATTCAGGCTGGGGCTCTGTGTTTGATTTACCTGGTCCCTGTAGGATGCTTATCTTGGCTGTCAGAGCCCAGAATGCCCCACCAAATATCTCATCCTGGCTGCAGACAAGAGAGACAATTAGTAACTAAAACATCCGGGGATGCTGGAAGCCCATTGCTATAGCTCTCAATCTCTGGCTCTTCCACAGGAGCTAGCACTCCACTCTTGCTGTAGTGAGGGTTGCTGGTGTCTGGCATTCAAAATGCCTTATTTTTCCTGTAGATCTGGCCACCAGAGGGCACTGCCAAAACACACATGTCCACAAGTGTGCCTGCACACGCATACGTTAGGAACAGATATTGGGTTTATCTGACTGTCCTGGGCTTTGGATTGCAACAAAACAGGCACAGGACAGTTGTTTACATGTCCCAGAATAAAAGGTTTTGTCCTTTTCGATGCACATATGTGCACCTACATGCATGTGCGTGCACACACACACATACAAGGAGTAAGAACAGTATGGGAGGTAAGGAGGGAAGATGGTATATGAGGCTTCATTATCTCCACCAGGACAATAGCTTCTTCTCCAGCATTAAAACCATTCCTGGTTGTGGGAGGCTGGATAGGAAGACTAGACATAAAGAAAAGGAAAGCAGGTCTGGAAGGGACCGCACAAGGCCATGTAGTCCAGCTCCCTGCTTAAATCACGATCATCCCTGATTTAAACCATCCCAGCCAAGTGTCTGTCTAGCCTGCCTTTGAAAATGTCCAGGGATGGTGGTTCCTCAACTTCTCTAGGCAGCCTATTCCAATACATGACCACCCTCATAGTCAGGAAGTTCTTCTTAAATCCCTCCTGAATTTCCTCTGCTGTACCCGCATGCCATGCTCCTACTCCTGTCCCCTTCACTCACAGCGATATGTTTGTCTCCATCCTCTTTATAATCTCCCTTCAGGTATTTGAAGACATCCCCCCTAATCTCCAGCCTAAGTAATCCTAGTTCTTTCAGCCTTTCTTCACGAACCATGCTTTCCAGGTCCCTAATCATTTCTGTTATTCTCTGCTGGACTCTTCCCAATCTGTCCACATCTTTCTTGAAGGGTGGGGACCAAAACTGGACACAGGACTCCAGGTGGGGCCTCACCAGAGCTGAAGAGGGTGGAAAAACCACTTGCCTTGATTTGCAAGAAACATTCCTGTTAATGGGTACATCAGACAAACTGGATAGAGTCTTTCACCTGGTTTAGATCAGAGACTGATCTGTCCATGGTGTTTTGGTGGCACATGTGAAATGAGCTGTATGTGTGTGTGCCTGAGTGTGAGTCCTACAGCTGGCACTAATTGCTTCTCTTGCTTGCAGACATACCAAAGAGGCCAAGACATATTTGAGGCAGTGCCTGCAAGCCAGGCTTTGAGACACTGCAGAGGAACTGGCTGGGCCTTCAGCATCTGGAGAGAGGGGGTGCGAGGAGTGCTGGGAGCTGGGAGAGTCTGCACAGAGGGGGCTTGCGGGCCCAACCCAGTGTCCCCCAGGTGGGCTGGCATTTGTCTCAGGGCACTAGGTAACATAGCACAAGTGTGGGGACCCCAACTGCTTGATGGGAGGCAGTGAAGGAAAAAGGTTATTAAAGGGGTGGCTCCAAGGGTCATTTGCTTTACAACCCCTGTGGGGTGGTGGGGGAACAGACAGCAGGGCCCATGCTTTACCTTGCTCGTTGCAGTGGCTGTGGAGCCGGGGAGCACGGGCGTGTTGGTGACTTGGACATTCAGGTAATTATTGTCTATGAGTGGCCAAGCCCCCTGCACTTTGCAGGTCTGGAAGCTGTCTGTGAAAGTCCTGATGTGGGGGTCCCCGAAGAGCCCACAGTGGGTGTAGTTTGGGGGCGCTGAGTGCTTGTGGAAGCTCTTCTCGTAGTGGCAGATCTCCGGGCTGTCGGAGCGCTCCTGGCTGTCCCCCGGAGGCAGCGTCCGGAGACGGGGCTGTGAGGTGGGGCCATCCTTGGAGCAGTTGTGTTGGACCATGAGGTCGTCTATGCCATGAACGGCAGAGTGGTAGGCCAGGTCCCCCCTGCAGGTGCGAGCTGTGCGGCGGGTGCAGTGGGCATACGCCCGGAGAGCTGTGCAGAACTCGGGTGCCTCCTCGGTGGCCAGGTGGTGAGAGCCAGACGTGGCAGCCCAAAACTCGGAGTTACACTTCAGGATCTTGCACGGAGACGTTGCTGAGGAAGAGAAGACACAAGTGCTGTCAGGAGGCCCAATGCACCAGTCACCCGCAGCACCCACTACCCACGCCCCCCCGGCAAAAGACTGTCACTACAGTAGCCAGGAAGCACTGCCACCAACTCCTTAAGACAAGAAGTGTGGAAGAAACCAGTTGTGGTGGGGAATTAGGATGATCCTATGGGGCTGCCCATGTTGGCAGGGACCAATGGCATTAAGCCTCGGGAGAGATGTCAGCAAATGGGTGGCTTTTAGGCCTGAATTTAACTGCACAGTTGTACTCCCAAATGATGCCCACAGTTATGAAGCCCATCTGCATTCTGACTACTTCCCTGACATGCCTGAGTCAGATGTCATTGCATGCTCCTGTTGTCTCGCAGAGTAATGTATTGCTCTTCCATGGTGCACACAGTCACGGGCACTTGGAGCTCAGTCACGTGCCCGACTGTCGAGGGTGGTATCTGGGCAGGTTGTATAAATGTGCCCCTAGGTTGGTCTTTGCCAGGGGCCTCTGGTCAGCATGAAGCCTCTCTGCTCCCCCATACTCAGAGAGCCTGTTTGCATGGGGATTTTTGCACTGATGAAGCTGCACCAGGCTGAGCCCCTAGTATGGGTGTGACACACTGGTGCGAAAGGTGCCATGCACAAGTGCAGCTTCCCCCATTTTCCAGCTGTGGCCCCTGTCAAAATACAGTTGATAGTGCCAGAGCAGCACCAGCATCTGCACTAGTGCAGCCACGTCTGTGCAAATCCCGGCCCTGTGCAGACAAGCCTTGAAAAGTGACACCCTTCACCCAGTCAGCAATGGCCACAGGTCAGGTCCCTGGGCACCAGGCTGCTCACACTCCTGCCCTCAACCATTTAATCACCTTCTGGACCCCCTTCGGGCCCCAGGGGAGGCTCACCTGGGCCTAGGGTGAGTGAGGATTTATTTAGGGAGCTTCTGGAGGGGCTGGATGTTTTTAAGTCAGCCAGCCCGGATGATCTTCACCCTAGAGTCCTAAAGGAACTGGCTGGGGTCATTGCAAGTCCCCTGGCACGGCTTTATGAACACTCATGGTGCTCTGGAGAGGTGCCGGAGGACTGGAAGAGGGCCAATGTGGTTCCCATCTTCAAAAAGGGAAGGAAAGAGGACCCGGGGAACTACAGGCCAGTCAGTCTTACCTCGATCCTGGGCAAGCTGTTCAAGAAAATTATTCTGGCACACATCCAGGAGGGGCCAGCAGGGAACTGCATGCTCAGGGGCAACCAGCACGGGTTCATCAGCGGCAGGTCCTGTCAGACCAACCTGGTGGCCTTTTACGACCAGGTCACTAAATCATTGGATGCAGGGGTGGCAGTGGATATAGTTTTCCT